AATGAGTGCTGGAAATCTGTGAAACATTACAACAATTAAGTCGTTTGCTGTTCGCCTGGCTACAATCATCACCTGCAATATCATTACCTACACCCTTGCTTCTGAAAGGAAAGGGTTCTTTACTACAAATTTTTCAGGTGTAACATGCCCTAGATTCTGGAGCCCACTGCTGCTTTGGGATGGCCAGGAAGCCTCGATAACAAGCGATGTTAGAACTACACTGATGGCAACAACCACAGCACAATGGATCGCTAGAGACTAGCAGGCCAAACCACATACCTCGTGAAACCTACGTATTTGTCATTGGTTCAAATAACTATAGAATTAGGGTCTGACTAAGAAGAACTCTTGTATTAAAATCACTTTTAAAAGTTTTTATATAAAACATATACCTATGAAAAGAGATGCTGGAGAAAGACCAAATCCTCCCTCCCTCATGGAAACAGGAAGGAATTCTGGCTTGCCAGCTCCTGGTTCCCACTAAGTAATGTTTTGGGGCTTTCTGAAGGACTGCTCATCCAGCTGTGTGTTGCAATGCTGAACTGCAATATCCCTCTTCTATGTCAGAACAAAGGAGTTTCTTATTTTCAGTAGTATCTCCACCACTACCAAAATGAAGGAAAGAGAGTTCAGCATTGGCACACACAAATATTTCAAAACAGGTCTAACACAGAGCCATAGCTTTCCTCTTATTTCAGACCTTGCCCAGACATACTGAAAAATCACTTTCTAAAACACAGGCTGGGTGTCAATTGTACTCAAAAGTGAAATATAGATGGTGGCAAATTTAGTTCAAGTAGGTGTTGCCTCTCTAAAATCTGACTCACACATATAGAATTTACTAAAGCTTAGTTCTTTACTCTGACAGAGTTAATTTCATTTTACATTTTAGCATCTTAATGCAAATGATGTAAAGCATCTCAAATTTGAATTCCAGAAGATCCAGGTATGAAAATGAAAAAAGACTGTAATCGGAAAAATAAGAGGAAACTGACAATACTATCATATAGTTTATTTCTAGTCTCCCTGTTGTTTCTTCTTCATCTGTCAGTTCACAGCTGGAGTTTCATTATCACACACTGCCCTATCCCCCACCCCATCATTATCTCTTTGAGGGTATTTTTGATACCTTCTTTTAGCACATTGGGAGGCAACATTATGGCAGGGGTTCTATTTTTTCAATAAACCCAGGAATGTCCTGCCTCTAATTCAATAGCTCAGGCTGGGCAATATCTATCCAGGATACAGGTAATCAAGAATTAATATTAAATATATTCCTTTGCCTGAAAGAACTGAACCTCTACCAGCCATGACCCTAACTTCCATGCTCCACGATATTCAGGGTGGAGCAGTGCATTCCTCCCCTCCTCTTGGAGCTGTTCTGCTTAGCTGTAATTAAATATTTCCACTGTAATTAAATATTTTTACTGTATTTTCACTTTAATTAAATATTTTTTTAGCTCAGAGTGAGAGAAACTCAAGTATCAATGTCAAAATTAAGTCTCTGATCTGGGAACGGCGATACCCATTTGCTGGTCCTCCCGCATGTAACTACATCACTTGGTATAAATGAAGGTGACATAACCACCAAGGTGGAGGGTTTTTTACTTTCCTGTGCAGTGAGCTTCTGTCCTGTGTAAAGCAGGAACTAAAGCCACCGTCTTCAGACAGATGAGAGCATCACGCCCCTTAACAAAAGGGCTAAAGCATTCAACCACTGGATGCAGGAGCCAGTCTCAGATCCTCCATGGTACTAGAGGGTCTTCACTCTCTCTTCCACTTCCTGGGCATGTGGTTTAACTGCTGGATTTAAACATGGGAAGATCAACGCTTCCCATGACACAGATACATGTGGCAGGAGAGGGAATGGAGATACCTCTTGAGAGCAGACCTTACACAGCACCACTGTTCCCAGCCGCCTGGGACAGCCCCCAGGGAGCAGGGCTGTGTGGGTCCTGCTCAGAGCTGCCCGTCAGGGGCAGCCGGGCCTGAAAACCAAACAAAAGCCACCGTAGCCCAGGGGCCCAACACCAAGCCGGGGCCTGTCGAGGCGACGCCGGGCCGGACAGCCTCGGTTTCTCCTCACACAAGTCCGCCGCTCCAACTGACGCCCGCACCGCTTCTCCCGCCGCACCCCATCTCCTGAGGCGGCTGACAGAGAATGAGCGTCCGAAGCGGCCAACCCCGACCCTGGGTCCCGCTCAGAGCTCTGCCAGAGCACCCCCTCAGAGCGCCGCCATCGTCCTCGCTCCTCCCGCGCCGCCTAACTCAGCCGGCTTCGGCGACCGCCAACCCCTCGTTGGCCTCCCGAGAGTACTTGCTGGCCTGGACGCCAGCGGCAAAGAGGAGCGCGGTACCGAGAGCCGCCAGAGCCCGCGCCGCCGCCATGTCGCCCTGGACGAGGAACTACAAGTCCCGAGATGCCGTGCGGCTTCCCGCTCTCAGGCCCCCGGGCGGGCGGCCGCTGAGTTGCGGGATGTGCCCCCTCCTCGGCGAGGGAAAGGGATGTTTGTGTAGAAAAACAGGCTGAAAATCCAGTTGAGGTCGAAAATCTAGTGTCTAGTTTGGGGTCAGGGTAGGGTGAGAAGAATTAAGTTTGGGCTGTTTCTCTTCAAGCGGCTTTGTGTCATTCTCCTGAGTGTTTGCTTCACAAAATGTGGAAGTATGCTGAATGTGGCAGGTTTTGTGAGCGGTTTTTTTCACAGCCTGTAGTAGCTACAGTGAATGCTCTCCTGCATCCTGTGTGTCCCCCAGTGAGGTGTTGGTATCAGCTGTGCGAGGAAAAGGTGTCACGATGGGTTTAAACACCACCCCTTTGATCAAACAAAGTTTTCAGATATTGGCACAATGTTCAAGAGTATACAGAGGAAGAAAAGGCAGCTCAGGAAGGGTGGAAGGCAAGAATGGGGACTAGTTCCTCAGTACTCCCTGAGAGGGGAAGAAGGGCTCTTGGAGGTGGTAGTGGAGGACACCTCTGCCCAGGACAGCACATAGGGTTTGATGGCGTGGGGAGAAGGAGGATTGTGAGAAATGTAATAACGAGTGGATGAACTATGGGAGTTGCCCTGAGGTCGGTGCAGTGAAGAAAGCTGTTCCTTCTCTTGTCTTCTTGTTGAATCCCCTTCTGCACACTGCAAAGCTTGTGTAGTATCGGGTCTTCGACATAGTTGGGCATTTCTGTATTGAGTTTGTTTAGCAAAGTAGTGGTGGGGTTACTTTCCTGAGCCTAGCTGGTGGTGGAGGCTCATAAATTCACCTCAGATCTCATGTGTGACCTTGAGCAAATTAAAGTGTAGCTCTATAGTACTGTCAACACCAAGCCTTCATGCATTATAAATCAGTTCTATGAAAACAAATAGATTGCCTAAACTATAATAAGACTTCTGAAAACAATGCCCCAGGGAGGATTTTTACTGGAGTCTCCTTTTTGCCCTGTAAACAATATAAATGTCTTGTCTTTTCTCTTCCACATTTTCCTAAGTCAATGCAGAGATTCTCAGTCATATGAACCTAGAAACTGTTGCTATAAGACTAAATTGCAGAAGTGGGCAAAAATCTTGCAGTATACATTGCATTGAAGTGACCATTGAAGTATACATTGAAGTATAGAGAAGTGATGGTGGGAAAAGAAATCCGCCTCACCCAAATCTTGCAGAGCTCTCCACATTGATTTTAGGATTTAGAGCTTGTTTTAGTCTCATTATTACAGTGTATATATGTATTGTTGAGTCATTTTGGAACAGATGGTTTCGTCTTGTCTGTCATTTGAAGTATTGATTGAGTTTTCAGGCTCTCTGCAAATAAATTAACCTCCATGATATATAAACTCTTTCTGGTTCCCACTCTTTCTTGTGTTGAGTGTAGTCGTGCATAGCTTTATGCATGTTTGCTTGAGTTTTTGAGCTACACTGGGAAAATTTTTAGAAACAGGTAAGGGATGCAGCACCATTAGTTTGCTTATGCTGGCTTGTTGGATCTCATTCTCCAGTGCCTTTACATCTGTGTCAAATGACCCTCTCTGGGTCAGCCCGCTGGCATGGTACTGCAAGAGGGGAAAAGAAGGTGTGTGCCAGGGGCTGTCGGCGGGGCAGGGCTGGGGACCAGGGGGTGTTGAGCCTTGGGGACTCATCAAGCAGTTCTCATGGATTCAGAGCCTGTCCTGCTGGCACAAGTGCCCAATGACCTCGGGTTGCAGGCAGCCCACTGGCACAGCCTGCACAGTGCCAGGGGACGGCAGCACCGTCACCCCCAGCACCGTGTCAGGGTGCCGGGGGGGGTAACGCTGGGAGCAGGATGGGGGAGAGGCCAGAGCACCTTCCAGAGCACAGGGGCCTCTGCTTGCACAGCTGGGCACCAGCCAAAATCCCCTCTGGCAGGGGGATTAACCCCAGATGCCCAGGGAGTGCTCTGCACTAACCTTCCTCCTTGGGGACCTGATGCTCCATTTTTGGGGGAGAGGTGCACAGGAGGGTCCTGCTTGCTCCTCTGGCAACACTGCAGGACTGTGGGGGGGGGCTGCGGCACCCTGCAGCACTGGGACCTCAGCTCCATCACCACAAGGGGCTGTAGTGAAGGAGATGGCTGGGCGTGGGGACATCGATGTGGTCGAAGACCATCCTGATCCTCCAGTGTTTGGGGCAAACACGTCACTGAGCTGGCTGTGGCTGCTGCTGGGGCTGCCCAGCGTTTGTGACCCGGCTCCGCACATGCTGTGCAGGGAGGACCCTGAGAGATGGGCAACCCCTGGGCGAGATGCTGGCATCACCCCACGGGGATGTCTGGGTCATGCTGGGGGGCAGGCGCTGAGCCCAGGCTGGGGAGGGGGAAGCACCACGGGAGCTGCCATGGGGCTGAGGCTACCCTGCCCAGGGGGGAGCAGTGGCACCAGGCTGTGGGGAGGGCAAGGGGGACCCTGTGGGTCCCTTCTCTCATGCCAGGGCTCCAGCAGGGACTTCAGAGACAACCAAAGGGTTTGATAATCCAAACACTTTATTTAGGCATCAAAAATCCTGACTCCTCATTAACAGGCATGTTGATATCCTTTAAATTGTTTTTGTATTTTCACTTTCTTAGCAAACAAAATTTAGTTTAACAAATGTATGTCAATTAGAATAAATTTTCCCATTGAAGAAGGATGCAGCTGAAGCACCCTGTTGCGCGTCTGGTGCCAGGGGCCAAGCCCCCTGCACTGGGGTGGCAGCAGGGAAGGGTCAGTACTCCAGCATCTGGAAGTGCTTCAGATGCGCCTGCACCCAGGGCTCCTGGGGATCCGCGCATATCTTCTTCCCCGTCCTGGTTACCAGGCTGCCAGAAGAAAACCGACATTGGGGCGCTCGGCTGGGTCCCACTGGCAGCGCCCTGGATGTCCCTGGCTGTGCCCCCTTCCCCCTCCTAGCCACCCCTCCCCCCTCCGAGCCACCCTCGGACACGCTGGGGGCGCTGCCCTGGCTGTCGCACCCTGACCCCCGGCAGTGTTGGGTACTCACATCACTGCTGGCTGCGGGCACCAGCTGCTGGTTTTGTAGGCAGAGGTGATAAAGCTGCGTGGGATGCGGCGGTGCATGTAGCTGAAGCAGCAGGCCATGGGGACGTTGTCTGCGGTGGCAGAGAGACAGCCCCAGTGAGACCCCCACTGCGGCAGAGGCTCTGCCTGGGTGTCCCAGGGCATTCACCATCACCTGTGCTGTATGCCCCGGGGACACCCCCTGGAAGCCTGCATCCCTGAGGCTGAGTCCAGCACTGGTGATGACCAGCCGCTCCCAGCCCCCCCCATGGATACAACAGTCCCATCAATGGGGATGGGGCTCCCTCCTGGGGAGGGACAGCAAACCTGGCTTCTGGGCAGATGCAGCAACTCCGGAGTCACCAACATGGGCCGCAGCTGGGGAGCAGATGGCCACGAGGAGCAGAGCAGCCAGGGCGGCTGTAGGGACCTTCATGGTGCTGCAGGGGCTGAGGGAACCACAAGCGATGCCGGAGCTGGGGTGGCTGCAGGGCTCTCCTCTGCACGATGCTTGGCCCCTGCTGCCACTGCCCTCCTTTTATCCCCTGGCCACTGGGTGGGCACGGAGTTTCAGGGAAAGAAAATGAGTGCATCATACCGGGGAAATTATGGCAGGATTGCCTAGTTTTGCTGAGCTGGAGCAGACAAGGAAACCACAGAAGTAGAAGTGCTGGCCATAGAGCTGTGACTTTCAGATTCAAGAGAGCACAAGCCTTATGAGGAGCAGCTGAGGGAACTGGGATTGTTTAGCCTGGAGAAAAGGAGGCTCAGGGGAGACCTTATCGCTCTCTACCACTACCTGAAAGGGGGTTGTAGCGAGGTGGGTGTCGGTCTCTTCTTCCAAGTAACAAGCGATAGGACGAGAGGAAATGGCCACAAGTTGCACTGTTTAGGGGAGGTTTAGATTGGATATTGGGAAAAATTCCTTCACCGAAAGGGTTGTCAAGCATTGGAACAGGCTGCCCAGGGAAGTGGTTGAGTCACCATCCCTGGAGGTATTTAAAAGACATGTAGATGTGGTGCTTAGGGACATGGTTTAGTGGTGGACTTGGTAGTGCTAGGTTAATGGTTGGACTCAATGATCTTAAGGGTCTTCTCCAACCTAAATGATTCTACGATTCTATTCTATGACCTTCATGGTGCTGCGGGGGCCGAGGGAACCACGAGGGGGGCTGGAGCTGGAGTAGCTGCAGGGCTCTTTTCTGCACGATGCTCGGCCTCTGCTGCCGCTGCCCTCCTTTTATCCCCCCTAGAGTTTCAAGGAGAGAAAATGAGTGCATCATACCAGGGAAATTATGTCGGGATCACCCAGTTTTGCTGAGCTGGAGCCAGCAAGGAAACCGCAGAAGGGGAAGCACCAGCCATGGGGCTGTGACTTTCAGATCCCATTTGGGTGCCTGGCAGGGACTGGCCAGAGCCCAAACTCCTACGACACCAACCCTGCCACTGGCCAAGACCCTACTGGCCAAGAGCCAGGCTGGGGCATGAAGCTGCATAACCAGTGCCCTGAGGAAAATCAAGGCAAGGCCAGAAAAAGGAAAAAAAAGGAGGAAGTAGCAAGTTTTGCAGCTTTCTTTCTGAGTGTGCACTGGTGGGGGTGTTTGGGAATTACCCTCTGGGATTGCAAATGTTGCCCCTTTTCAGTCATGCTACGATCTCCTTGAGCTTTCATCTGCAAGGCTGCAATGAGCTGATCTCAGTGGGTGCCAGCAGAATCCTTTCCTCCCTCCAGCTTCTACTCTTAATGCCCTATCTCCTCCGTGACAGCGGTGTATTTGCTTTTTTTGGGCTAAGCCATTAGAGAGAGCCTAAATTGGATGAAGTTGTCCTGCTTGGGAAGAAGTGGGCAAGCAGTAATTGCAACAACTTGACTGTCAAGAGGCTGCAGACAACAGCCAAAACTAAAATCCTTAGAGAGGTGTAAATACTCTGTTCACCCTGGGGATGGGGAGGGTGGCAGGCCAGGCTGCAGCCTGAGACCACCGCTCCAGCCCTAGAGAATGGCAACAGAGTGCAGTCATGGAATCATAGAATCCTAGAATGGTTTGGATTGGAAGGGACCTTCAAGATCATCTAGTTCCAAGCCCCCTGCCATGGGCAGGAACACCTTCCACTAGATCAGGTTGCTCAAAGCCCCATCCAGCCTGGCCTTGAACACTTCCAGAGAGGGGGCATCCACAACTTCTCTGGGCAACCTGTTCCAGTGTCTCACCACCCTCCCAGTAATACCTAATCTAAATCTACCCTCTTTCAGTTTAAAACCGTTACCCTATCACTAGGGTAAAACCGTCGTCCTATCACTATACTCCCTGATCAAGAGTCCCTATCCATCTTTCCTGTAGGCCCCCTTTAAGTACCAGAAGGCTGCTATACAGTCCCCTGGAACCTTCTCTTCTCTAGGCTAAACAACCCCAACTCTCTCAGCCTGTCATACGGGAGGTGCTCCAGCCCCCTGATCATCTTTGTGGCCCTCCTCTGGACCTGCTTGAGCAGGTCCATGCCTTTCTTCTGCTGGAGGCCCCAGAACTGAACACGGTACTCCAAGTGGGGTCTCATGAGAGTGGAGTGAAGGGGGAGAATCACCTCCCTTGACCTGCTGGCCATGCTTCTTTTGATGCAACCCAAGATTCAATTGCAACACCAGTTGCAAGTCAGTTCGTAATTGGAAACTCTGAAAAACAATTTTATCTGCACAATTCCATCACCCGTTTAGGTTTTTGAGGTATGCAGCATCCATCAATTTAAATTCATAAAGTTTTAATTTCCCCCTTTTCTCCTAGCCCAAGCCTGAATTACATGATTTATGCTTTTATCAGATTTTAATATAATTATCAGCTCTTTTTCATCACTCCTTCCCTCTCTTTGTTTCTGAGGGTTAGAAGATCCACGAATAATGCGAGTTCTACTTTCCCAGTTCTCTCTGTTCCTACTCCTGTCCTTAAACTTAACCCCAGCTGTAGCCTTCAATACAAACTAAACATATCCATTATCCCTCCTCACTGATCTTTAGTTTTGCAGATATGCATAATCCACCAGTGAAATGAAATTACCGATGTTTAATTTCCCAAAGTATAGTATATACTATAAGAAAGTCCTAACTTGTATTATGGCAAACCTGGACCTATTTGAAAAGGTATTCCATTAGTATATTTTACGGTCAACACTCCACTCCATGCTGTTGTGGTCTGAGTAACTTGAATTCTGCTAACTTTCTGCCTACTTCTCTGTATTTAAAAACATGGAAGGGTCTTACACATATTTAACAGAACCTTAAACATAATCTTGGGACCACTATAAAGACCAAAAAATGAAAATAACTATTAGTATCTGCAGACCCTGATTTTATCCTTGGTTTTGTAAGTCTGCAGTATCCCAACAATATATTCAAATCATAAACTCATTATTTTCCTAAATGTTTAACTAGATAACAGCACAAGCCAAAGCCTTGTGACCCGTAGGTGTCACAAGCTAGGTGACCCGTAACTGTTCCACAATTGATTTAATTACTTTACTATAACGTACCCTTGTCTCTGCTGAGAATATCCAACAGCATACTGGGCAACAAATTATGCCCTACTACTCCTCTTTAACCTAACACTAATTGTAAACCACCGCTAACCATCTCCTTAAATACTCCCTTTCTTGTCTGTCCTGGTAAAAAGTACATGTACACTTGTCTTTCGGTTCTAATTTAAATAAATTTAGGACATTTTTATGTAGGGGAGGCAAATAATTTTGATAGTATCTTGGGGTTTTTTTGTTTGTTTCTTTGTAGGCTGTTTTTGAGGTCATGCTCCCTTTTAGTTAAGATAGAAGCTGCCCTTTGACTGACCTTTTACCTTCATTGAGCTAATTATCCAATATAATATATAGATCCTTTGTGCTTATCTAAATTGGACAAGTGTATCCGAACTATAAAAGCAATAATAATTGGCTCTTGGCTATAATATGTATGTATAGTTATGGTCCCATTCAGAAAGATGCACTACAAAACTCAATGAAAGTTTTGAGAATGACAAGCAATTATGAATCCTAAATTTCTTGATTAAGATTAGTTATCAGACACTTATTATATCTGTGCTATAACTATGCTTTTCCTCATTTAGAAGATTAATCTAGATCCCAGCACTATTTAGTGCTTTAGTAAATTAACCGCATCATAGCAGAGATCTTGGACAGGTGCTCAAAGACTAACTTTTCCTTCCCTATCCATTTGGAAGAGAAGCAATAGTTGTAATGCCTTTCTGAAGAATGTAGCAGCAAACAAGAAAAATAAGCTCAGGTACTATCTAACTCCAAAGTTCCCCCAGTTACAGACTTCTGTACAGTTCTGCTCTCATCTATGAAGTCTAGCATTTCCTACTTTCTGGATTTTGGGGTGGGGTTTTTTTAGCAGTCTATAACAACCTCACAACTTTGTGATTATTAAATATTACAGAATAAAAATAGAAGAATATATAAATGGGTCTCCAAATAGTCAAGGTTTGTCTGTAGCTTCATCTGAGATACCACAGTACCTTTGCATACCAACATCAGTCTTGGTACGTTGCCTGTTTTTGACAGTGGGTAAATAATACCGTTTTGGTGGTAACCATTGTAGATTTCACCCTCCTGAACATCTTGACTTTTTCCCTTGGTTTTGTGTGTTAAATAGTAGAGTTTAGCCAAGGCTGATCTAAGATAACTGGAGATCCTCCATCCACGGGTTAAAATCAGCTGTCTTGTTCTGCAAGAGAGTATACAGGCTCCCTAAATGACAAGATTTGGTCCCAAAGAAGTGTAAGAAATGTGATGGGAAGGCAAAACTGGCTTGGAAGCATCTGTCTATCCCATTTTAATGGTGGTGGCAAACCAAAGCTTCCTATGGTACATATCACAGCAGTTAGATACAGCCTGATCTTGTGAAGAGCCACAAATGTACCTTAACACTATGTATAATCCTACTGGCTCTACTTGCATCTGCAGGATTTTATTTGTATTTCCGATTAGCTCTTAATAGTTTAGAATCTTTTTGGCTCTATAAAGATCCAGGTCCATGCTGGTGAAACACTCTTGGGTTAATGTCAGGAATTGATAGCCCAGGAGCCGTCCAAATCAAGATGGTTTTGGAGATGCCTGATTGTCTTTGCTCAGTTGGTGACGCAAAACATTCTCTGTGTCTGGTGTCTGCCTCTCAGTATGGTTTTGTAAACATGGAGGGATCCTATTTCTTCTTTTACTTTCTTTTAGTAACAGAAGAGAAAGCTTCGTTCTGGATCTTATACATTCATTTTCACAGAGATATATAGTTCCGTATTTATACTCTAATTCACCTTAAATTAAAGACCATTTATGCAGGTGTGTGCTTTAGGTTTTCCAGGAAAAAACAGCCAGAGAGAATCTATCTGGACTACCTGAGCTGAAATCTCTCATCAAAGACACAATCCTGTTTGTCAAGGGATTAAGCCTGTTCCTTCACTGTGTGCTGTTCTGTAAATCTCGGACCAAGGTCAGAGTCAGCTTTCA